TACTAACATTATGGTTGATCTTGGTTACTAACATTATGGTTGATCTTGGTTACTAACATTATGGTTGATCTTGGTTACTAACATTATGGTTGATCTTGGTTGCTAACATTATGGTTGATCTTGGTTACTAACATTATGGTTGATCTTGGTTACTAACATAACATTATGGTTGATCTTGGTTACTAACATTATGGTTGATCTTGGTTACTAACATTATGGTTGATCTTGGTTACTAACATTATGGTTGATCTTGGTTACTAACATAACATTATGGTTGATCTTGGTTACTAACATTATGGTTGATCTTGGTTACTAACATTATGGTTGATCTTGGTTACTAACATTATGGTTGATCTTGGTTGCTAACATTATGGTTGATCTTGGTTACTAACATTATGGTTGATCTTGGTTACTAACATTATGGTTGATCTTGGTTACTAACATTATGGTTGATCTTGGTTACTAACATTATGGTTGATCTTGGTTACTAACATTATGGTTGATCTTGGTTACTAACATTATGGTTGATCTTGGTTACTAACATTATGGTTGATCTTGGTTACTAACATAACATTATGGTTGATCTTGGTTACTAACATTATGGTTGATCTTGGTTACTAACATTATGGTTGATCTTGGTTACTAGCATAACATTATAGTTGATCTTGGTTACTAACATTATGGTTGATCTTGGTTACTAACATAACATTATGGTTGATCTTGGTTACTAACATTATGGTTGATCTTGGTTACTAACATTATGGTTGATCTTGGTTACTAACATTATGGTTGATCTTGGTTACTAACATAACATTATGGTTGATCTTGGTTACTAACATAACATTATGGTTGTTACAGACGTGGGAGAGAAACCGTCTCAGTCGTGTTCTACAGAATCTGACGACGACAAGAACAAGAAGAAACGACAACGACGACAGAGAACTCACTTCACCTCCCAGCAACTACAGGAGCTGGAGGCCACCTTTGCTAGGAACAGGTGAGTCCAGGAGCTGGAGGCCACCTTTGCTAGAAACAAGTGAGTCCAGGAGCTGGAGGCCACCTTTGTTAGGAACAGGTGAGTCCAGGAGCTTGAGGCCACCTTTGCTAGGAACAGGTGAGTCCAGGAGCTGGAGGTCACCTTTGCTAGGAACAGGTGAGTCCAGGAGCTGGAGGCCACCTTTGTTAGGAACAGGTGAGTCCAGGAGCTGGAGGCCACCTTTGCTAGAAACAAGTGAGTCCAGGAGCTGGAGGCCACCTTTGTTAGGAACAGGTGAGTCCAGGAGCTTGAGGCCACCTTTGCTAGGAACAGGTGAGTCCAGGAGCTGGAGGTCACCTTTGCTAGGAACAGGTGAGTCCAGGAGCTGGAGGCCACCTTTGCTGGGAACAGGTGAGTTCAGGTGACTGTTAGTCCAGGAGCTGCAGGTCACCTATGCTAGGAACAGGCAAATCCAGGTAACTGTTGTTAGATGTGGAAGTCAGTGTATATATACTAAGTGGTATCTCTCAATATATACATACAGATACACACTTCTCGATGTATATATACTAGGAGATACGCACTTCTCGATGTATATATACTAGGAGATACACACTTCTCGATGTATATATACTAGGAGATACGCACTTCTCGATGTATATATACTAGGAGATACGCACTTCTCGATGTATATATACTAGGAGATACACACTTCTCGATGTATATATACTAGGAGATACTTCTCGATGTACATATACTAGGAGATACGCACTTCTCAATGTATATATACTAGGAGATACGCACTTCTCGATGTATATATACTAGGAGATACGCACTTCTCGATGTATATATACTAGGAGATACACACTTCTCGATGTATATATACTAGGAGATACCACTTCTCGATGTATATATAACTAGGAGATACGCACTTCTCGATGTATATATACTAGGAGATACACACTTCTCGATGTATATATACTAGGAGATACACACTTCTCGATGTATATATACTAGGAGATACACACTTCTCGATGTATATATACTAGGAGATACACACTTCTCGATGTATATATACTAGGAGATACACACTTCTCGATGTATATATACTAGAGAGATACACACTTCTCGATGTATATATACTAGGAGATACACACTTCTCGATGTATATATACTAGGAGATACACACTCTCGATGTATATATACTAGGAGATACACACTTCTCGATGTATATATACTAGGAGATACACACTTCTCGATGTATATATACTAGGAGATACGCACTTCTCGATGTATATATACTAGGAGATACGCACTTCTCGATGTATATATACTAGGAGATACACACTTCTTGATGTATATATACTAGGAGATACACACTTCTTGATGTATATATACTAGGAGATACACACTTCTCGATGTATATATACTAGGAGATACACACTTCTCGATGTATATATACTAGGAGATACGCACTTCTCGATGTATATATACTAGGAGATACGCACTTCTCGATGTATATATACTAGGAGATACACACTTCTCGATGTATATATACTAGGAGATACACACTTCTCGATGTATATATACTAGAGATACACACTTCTCGATGTATATATACTAGAGATACACACTCTCGATGTATATATACTAGGAGATACACACTTCTCGATGTATATATACTAGGAGATACACACTTCTCGATGTATATATACTAGGAGATACACACTTCTCGATGTATATATACTAGGAGATACACACTTCTCGATGTATATATACTAGGAGATACACACTTCTCGATGTATATATACTAGGAGATACACACTTCTCGATGTATATATACTAGGAATACGCACTTCTCGATGTATATATACTAGGAGATACGCACTTCTCGATGTATATATACTAGGAGATACACACTTCTCGATGTATATATACTAGGAGATACACACTTCTCGATGTATATATACTAGGAGATACACACTTCTCGATGTATATATACTAGGAGATACACACTTCTCGATGTATATATACTAGGAGATACACCACTTCTCGATGTATATATACTAGGAGATACACACTTCTCGATGTATATATACTAGGAGATACACACTTCTCGATGTATATATACTAGGAGATACACACTTCTCGATGTATATATACTAGGAGATACACACTTCTCGATGTATATATACTAGGAGATACACACTTCTCGATGTATATATACTAGGAGATACGCACTTCTCGATGTATATATACTAGGAGATACGCACTTCTCGATGTATATATACTAGGAGATACACACTTCTTGATGTATATATACTAGGAGATACACAATTCTTGCACAAAAAGAACTATGGTATTATATATATTTTTTATATCTTGCTTTGTACTATATTTTGCTACAGTTGTGTGAGTGTGACCTTCCTTGGAGGGTGTGTGACCTTCCTTGGAGGGTGTGTGACCTTCCTTGGAGGGTGTGTGACCTTCCTTGGAGAGTGTGTGACCCTCCGTGGAGGGTGTGACCCTCCCTGGAGGGTATGTGACCCTCCCTGGAGGGTATGTGACCCTCCATGGAAGGTATGTGACCCTGGAGAATGCGTGTGACCCTCCTTGAAGAGTGTGTGACCTTGACCTTCTCTCCTTCAGATACCCCGACCTGAGCACCCGAGAGGAAATCTCCCTGTGGCTCAACCTGAAGGAAGCACAAGTCAGGGTGAGTGTTCCAGGGAGACAGAGAGTGAGATACTGCACTCAGTTTTAATTATATATATATATATATATATATATATATATATATATATATATATATATATATATATATATATATAATATATATATATATATATATATATATATATATGGTATTATCGTAACCACGAACGAGTGGTATTAATTAATAACACTGCGAGTAGCCGAGGATTCGAACCCATGTCGTTTTGGCCCACATCATGGTGAGCGAAAATCACATATGACGCTCTAACCCATGAGACCACGCAATTCTACAAAAATGACGCACCCAGCAGAGCTAGGTGTTTTACCATGATCCGTATGTCCTCGGATCACGATAAAAAACCTAGCTCTGCTGGGTGCGGCGTCATAATTTTTCTGTCTAATAATAACAATAATATTATTATTATTTATAGTGATTTCTTTATTTCTATGACGTCACAAAATGCTATTTTTTTCTCTCCTATATTAAGAACTTATAGAGTAGTCAAGCAATAAAAATTCTATAATACAGAATATATATACATGTATAGCTAATTGTATTTTTTTAAATGGGTAGAGGGGTACGCCAGTGGAAGGTCTTGGTCAGATGACGGAAAGCTCCATCTGCGGGTCATGTGACTAAGACCCATGTCAGGAAACACGTGTATTCTTTCCTCACTAAACTTTACCTAACCTACAAAATCTATCAGTCGTTCAGCTGCTTGTTCTCCAAGACTGACGGTATAACTACGCAATTTAAATGCCTAAAAGACCGAACAAATTTGGGAGAAATGAAAAATTTAATATATATTATTGGAAGTTATTAATATACCAAAAATATCGTATATTACTGATTTTTAGTAATTTTTATTTCTAGGGAATTGATCATCGTAATATGGGCAATACTTTATTTATTTGAAATCGTGCCAGAAACGTCCTTGGAACAATTACACTTAAGGGTGAAACTCATAGGGGTATCCTTGCAATGATTGGAAATCATACCAAAAACGCCCCTGGTGTAGGGTGCTTTAAGGGTGAAAATATTGTGGAAATGTAGGACCGAGCGTGGGAAATATTGAATTAGGTTATTGTTGTAATGGAGCGAGCACCGCCATGTAAATTAAGGGTCGACCTATGGTTTAGGGAGGTAATTTACATTGTGGGGTGGGTAAGGGGAGCACTGGTTCTATGTACGAGGGGAGAAATGAGGGGTGAGAAGGAAGGCGAGGCGTAAGGTAGGGAAAAAAGCGAGGGAGAGAAGAGGGGAGGGAGGTAGAAAGGAAGAGAGACAGACGGATGATATACATAAGAGAGACTTAAATATAGCAGCAGTTAACACCATCCTCCCACACTGCCCTCCTTCAGGAACACCTCCAAGACATACCCACTAACCAGAGTTGTCGTACATTACACAAACAACTCTTCCTCTACCCACGTCTTTCCCTCCACCTTCCTCCCACCCCCACCCGATGTACAAAAATACACGCAAAGAGTGGCAGCCATCTGAGAAGAATGTAGTATACTAATATATATATATATATATATATATATATATATATATATATATATATATATATATATATATATATATATATATATATATATATATATATTATATATATATATATATATTTAAGAATAAAGCAGTGTGGGAACAATTCAGTCAATTTTATAATAGCCTCTCGACATTAAAATTGATATTGTATAGCTTAGAGTATATGTAGGTGGACACTGGTGGACGACTACCAACCTGGACACCATGAACATCCTCTACTTCACTTGTTCTGAGCAATACTGACTACATGTAGACTGAACCCAAGGTAAGTTAGGCGGGGCTAAGCTGCGTTACTGAACATTAGGTGATCAGAGAGAGAGAGAGAGAGAGAGCAAGCAGGGAACTAGGCTAGTTTGTTACAAATGATCTGTGTTAATTCACAAAGCACGACAGACGGCCTACACACACGTACACTTATAAAAGTGGGCATGTACATAATCATGGATATATACAAATGTTTGGGTGACCACGCACGCACACACGCACACACACACACACACACACACACACACACACACACACACACACACACACACACACACACACACACACACACACACACACACACACACACACACACACACACACACACACGTGACGTGACGTGACGTGAAGTTAATGAGAAGAATTCACTCTATCGAAGACCAGGCAGAACTACAAAGGGATCTGGACAGGCTGCAGACCTGGTCCAGCAATTGGCTCCTGGAGTTCAATCCCACCAAGTGCAAAGTCATGAAGATTGGGGAAGGGCAAAGAAGACCGCAGACGGAGTACAGTCTAGGGGGACCAGAGACTACAAACCTCACTCAAGGAAAAATATCTTGGGGTGAGTATAACACCAGGCACATCTCCTGAAGCGCACATCAACCAAATAACTGCTGCAGCATATGGCGCCTAGCAAACCTCAGAACAGCATTCCGACATCTTAATAAGGAGTCATTCAGGACCCTGTACACCGTGTACGTTAGGCCCATATTGGAGTATGCGGCACCAGTTTGGAACCCACACCTAGCCAAGCACGTAAAGAAACTAGACAAAGTGCAAAGGTTTGCAACAAGACTAGTCCCAGAGCTAAGAGGTATGTCCTACGAGGAGAGGTTAAGGGAAATCAACCTGACGACACTGGAGGACAGGAGAGATAGGGGGGACATGATAACGACATACAAAATACTGAGAGGAATTGACAAGGTGGACAAAGACAGGATGTTCCAGAGATTGGACACAGTAACAAGGGGACACAGTTGGAAGTTGAAGACACAGATGAATCACAGGGATGTTAGGAAGTATTTCTTCAGCCACAGAGTAGTCAGTAAGTGGAATAGTTTGGGAAGCGATGTAGTGGAGGCAGGATCCATACATAGCTTTAAGCAGAGGTATGATAAAGCTCACGGTTCAGGGAGAGTGACCTAGTAGCGATCAGTGAAAAGGCGGGGCCAGGAGCTCGGACTCGACCCCCGCAACCTCAACTAGGTGAGTACAACTAGGTGAGTACACACACACACACACACACACACACACACACACACACACACACACACACACACACACACACACACACACACATACACACACATTCTCTCTTCATTCTTATTCAGCCATCTATCTCATCAGCACCACAACCCACTCCCACCCCCTCATCCCCTCTCCCTTCCCTCTCTCTCCCCCCTTCGCTTTGTGGTGTAACTACACGTCTGAACAACTCTCAAGGGAAGGGGCAAGAGCGAACGGGTAGGGGAAGTGGGAGTAGGGAGAGAAAGGGGGGGGCGTCTCTCCCTGGGGGTCGCTTCCACACCCTGGGATTAAATGATTCTAATGATATTGGTTGTAGGAGAGAGAGAAAGAGAGAGAGAGAGAGAGAGAGAGAGAGAGAGAGAGAGAGATAGAACTATCTCAAGATTAAATCAGATAATCAGTGATGGAAGACTGGAGGAGGTATCAGACACAGAAGCTAGGATTGTCAAGTTGGAGTGGGGGCAGGGGGGGATGGATTATGGAAGAGGAGAGAGAGGGTCGGAGAGGGGCAAAGAAGTGAGAAAGAGAGAAAAGAGAGAGAGAGAGAGAGAGAGAGAGAGAGAGAGAGAGAGAGAGAGAGAGAGATTTAGCATTTGACTAATAATTATAATAAAATAATAATTAACAGTATCAACAAATAATAATGAGACTAACAACATTTACAGTGACTGTCAACACTATACTGTGCCATCAAGTTGCATCAACACTGCGTTGCAGGTGGTGTTGAAGTGGGTGTTGACTAGGGGGGTTCTAGTCAGTGTTGTCGTGTTTATCAGTAACAGCAGCAGCAGCACCAGCGTGCAGGACAACCAATTTTGTCAGTGATAACAAACAGACTAATGCTATGATAATCCCAGTGTTAGGTTATCAGACAGGCTTAAGCCGGGGATAAGAGTAACAAACTGAAGGATAAGCCAGCGACAGGTGACGAAGGAGGGGCTGGAGGTGAGATGGGGGAGGTGTGATGACGTGGAGGTGTGATGGGGGAGGTGTGATGACGTGGAGGTGTGATGGAAGGGGAGGTGTGATGGAGGGGGATGTGTGATGGAGGGGGGGAGGTGTGATAGAAGGTGGTGTGACGGAGACAAGGGAGAATCTTGAGTTAACTAATACTAGGAATGTCTTCCTCTTGTGGAGATAATCTGACAAAGTTTTGTCTTCCAACAGATCTGGTTCAAGAACCGCCGGGCCAAGTGGCGGAAGCGAGAGCGTCACGTGATGACAGCAGCCATGCCCGGGGACCTCAAGTGTGGCTGGGGCGCCCAGCTGAATGGCTTCGCTTGGCCTGACGACGGCCTCTATTCCGGCTACTCCTCCTACAACAATTGGGCCAGGGTCACGCCGCCTCCCCTCAGCACCAAGAGCTTCACCTGGGGCTTCAACGGTGTCAACATGATGGGTCAACAGACAGCCACTATGTCTCCCATCAATTGCTTCCAGTCACCGACGCAGGGTATGAGTGGGTCGGCATCTGCCAACCTCATGCCCACCACCATGTCTTCCTCCCTGGGCTCTAGTGCTGCCCCGTGCCCCTACCCGGCCCCGACACCTCCATACGTCTACCGTGACCAGACCTCCTCCATGTCCTCCTCCATCGCTTCACTCCGCCTCAAGGCTAAGTCCCACTCGCCGGCCTTCACTTACGCCCCGATGTCTCCCCGTCAGAACTCTCTCTCAGCCTGCCAGTACTCCATGAGTGATCGATCCACTGTTTAAGCCGTAACTGGATATCAATTTCCAATTACTGAAGTTACAACTGTATTTTTCCGTGAATAATGTCAGGCTCCCGTATCTAGGCTCTTAGACTCGGATACGGTCACAGACCGACTCACCCATTATATATATATAGCTGGATAACATTTCCATAAATGGACTCATTCGTGGCATTCAGACTTTAATATTGTCCTCAAACGAACCTTGTTGTAACTGTACCCTCCAGTCGCCTCCTGTCTAACCTCTAAAACGAACCCAGACGACACCTTGACAACTGAAGTAAAATCAGTGCCAGAAGGAGGAGCCGAGACGTTGATAGCTCATTGTGGTTACCAGGACATCCAGAAGGCATGGTAGGGTGTCAACACTCGCAGTCTCCAGAGGCAGTTATTGGCAGTAAGCTGTGAGGAAGCGACAACATCCACGGAAGGTCTCCGCTACCATCAGTGACCTGCATAACGACTCTTACTACCACATCAGCCAATCTACAGCTCTCCATTCATCAAGGTTTTCATCCCAACTGGTACATTTCAACTGAAGGAAAGTCTTTGTAAATCCTATTGTTGCCAAAAGTGTTGTAACAAAGCCCAACTCTTGGCAAATGTGTTGTAACCTGCAGCTATGTTACAAGACGGGCTAAATTTGAGTTGCAACGGACGAAATGTGCAGCCATTACCTGCGAAAACAAGAGAAGTGAACCTCATCATTTCTAGACACGTGTCTTAGACGTCACTTCTAGACACGTGTCTTAGACGTCACTTCTAGACACACACCCGTGTCAGTGCGGTAGAAGCTCGGTGTGTACACTGAAATCTTCCAATTCGATATATGGAAAGAATTGCAACTAAAAATAAAATTTTGCATGTGTAACATTTGGAAAAAAAACATAAAAGAACAAAATGTATAGAGAGAATTTTTTTTAGATGTGCATTTCTTTTATTAAAAAAAAAAAAACAGAACCATTGAAATATATCCGAAACAAAAACGTTAATTTTTACTGTATAATTTGTTTTTTAAATGCAAATATGTGCCAGTTTGAATCGTACAAACAGAAATGTAAGAAAAAGGTCAAAAGCAGAATTGTTGGGGGTCAAACAATTTTTGACTGGTCGCTGACAGTCGTGCTGTCAAGTGAGAGGCAAGATTAAATAACCATGTGTGTATTATCCGAATTATATCTTTGAAGCCAGTGCTTCCTGAGTAAAAGTCTAAATGTGTATGAATGCCTGGGAGATGTTCCATTACTAATAAACTGGTGGTGTGCTCTGCCTCGACCAAGAGATTCTCTGACGCTCTCTAGTTACAGTCTGATGTGGTGCACTGCCTTACAGCAGCTCCTGAATTCAGTCTCTCCCTCAATTGCTTTGGAATATTGGAAGGGGGCTGGTAAATCTTGAAAAGGAGTCGGTTAGTGTGGGATGTTAGACTGCCACTGGAGTCACTGAAGTGTGGGATGTTAGACTGCCACTGGAGTCACTGAAGTGTGGGATGTTAGACTGCCACTGGAGTCACTGAAGTGTAGGATGTTAGACTGCCACTGGAGTCACTGAAGTGTAGGATGTTAGGCTGCCACTGGAGTCACTGAAGTGTAGGATGTTAGGCTGCCACTGGAGTCACTGAAGTGTGGGATGTCAGAACACTCTGCAAACTTTTAAAGATAAAATGAAAGTGAAGAAAAGAGACAGGTGGAGAAGACGCTTTATTTTGATAACGTTTCGCTCACCGTAGAGCTTTGTAAAGTTAATCAACACAAAAGTTTTCTCAGCACTCGTCTCTTTTCTTCATTACTGTTGGCAGTATGTCTGTTTCCGACAGCATGAATTACTTGGGCAGGATGTCTCTGTCTCCAACAGTATGAATTACTTGGGCAGGATGTCTCTGTCTCCAACAGTATGAATTACTTGGGCAGGATGTCTCTGTCTCCAACAGTATGAATTACTTGGCAGGATGTCTCTGTCTCCAACAGTATGAATTACTTGGGCAGGATGTCTCTGTCTCCAACAGTATGAATTACTTGGGCAGGATGTCTCTGTCTCCAACAGTATGAATTACTTGGGCAGGATGTCTCTGTCTCCAACAGTATGAATTACTTGGGCAGGATGTCTCTGTCTCCAACAGTATGAATTACTTGGGCAGGATGTCTCTGTTCCAACAGTATGAATTACTTGGGCAGGATGTCTCTGTCTCCAACAGTATGAATTACTTGGGCAGGATGTCTCTGTCTCCAACAGTATGAATTACTTGGGCAGGATGTCTCTGTTCCAACAGTATGAATTACTTGGGCAGGATGTCTTTGTTTCCAACAGTATAAATTACTGGAACCCTCTGGCGACTTTTAATAAAGTAAAAAATTATGGCATGCTGGAAACCTTTACCGAGTTTTGACTACTGGGATCTGGGATATAGACTGCAATAACGCTGGAATCCCAGGAACAGATTGGAACTCGCTATAATGGAAGAGGGGGAGACTGCACCAAGGGCTTTGCCAATCCAATGTCTTTAATGGGTATTAGTTCTCCTAAACTCCCATATGCTTCCCCAAATCACCTTCCCCCCTTCCTCCCCATAATTGTGTTTTGAAAGTAATGAGGATGATTTTGCGGTGCGTTCATGAGTTCGCTAGAGCGACTAGGAAGAACTCGAGTCAGCAGAACGAGGAGTGCATGAAGCCGCTTCAATAGCCAAGAACGAAGGACTAGAATGTCCTTTTATTAAATTCGCGCATCTATAGTGAGTTGTTATATTCATGGAAAACGGCAAAAAGGAGTCAAGCAGGACCTGGGGAATTTAAAGTAGCCGGATTTAATATAAGGAAGGGTAGCCTTTGACCAGCGACAAGGCAGCTTCCTCGAAGAGAAGTGGGCTTTCTTTATAAGTCGCGTAAGAAAGGAGCAACAGAAACACGTGCGCTTATGTGAGGTTACTTCTGCGAAGAAGAATATAGCTCATGTCCCGTGATGTCACTTTCAGGGTCGAGAATGATGGATGACAAGTCTGTTTCATCAGGCTGAGTTCGACTCCAGTTGACCTCGTAGAGACAGAGGTTCTCCGTCAGCACCGACAAGAGAGTGTGTGACTGAGAGCTCGACTTCAGTTCGTTCATCTTCGAGTGTCTCTCAGCAGAAAGACAACCCTGAAAATATAGTTTCTGCGATCTAATCTGAACTCAAAGACGCCACGTACATTGGTAAAGAGTCGCTTTCGAGATGTGCCAACTGAAGTGTTTCTTTGTGATGTGTTTTTGTTTTCTCATTAATGGCGAGAAGCTAAATAAGATGTTGAAAAATGTCGTTGTAAAGAGCGATCAAAGAGTGGAAAGAAACTTGCGTATTTGCGATATTTGTATCTTGACATTCGCCCTCTTTCTCTTTCAAGAGAGAAAGAGAAACAGTGACAGAGTGAAAGAGGAAAACTGCACAAAAATATAAAAATACATACAGTGTGAACAGGAGAAAAAGTAGAAAAAATGACGAGTGGATATAAGTGTGTTGCATGGAACAATGTTGAATGAAGATGTATATAATTTTTGCCACATGTCCGACTATCGACAATTCTGAAACAATGATGGTTAAGACTTTTAAAAACAGTAAAACAGAGGAAGGTGGTGGGGGGAGTGAATTTATATTATTATTATTATTATTATTATTATTATTATTATTATTATTACTATTATTATTATTATTATTATTATTATTATTATTATTACTATTATTATTATTATTATTATTATTATCATTATTATCATTATTATTATTATTATTATTATTATTATTATTATTATTATTACTTTTATTATATGTGATTCAACTCTTCGTAAATTTGTAAATAATCGTATCTTGTAAATGTCGTAAGTGATGCCAAGTCTTCCAGGAGTAAAACTTAAAAAAAAAAAAAAAACACAAAAAATATGGCTGATACAATGAAATTCTCGAAGGAGCAACGGATTGTTTATGTTAGTGGTCTCTATTAAAACAAATAAATGCATTTTGCCGTAGTCGAACATCGTAGTATGAACATTTTTTATTAATTACCCCGTAACATTATACCGAAAATAAAAAAATCGTGATGTGTCCTTGTAGCTCTGAAGCCTACCCGCATGCACTACATTATTGCTATGTTCACTAATAAATTTATTTCAATGAAAGGAGAGGTACTATCAGTTTATATATATATATATATATATATATATATATATATATATATATATATATATATATATATATATATATATATATATGTGTATATATATATATATATATATATATATATATATATATATATATATATATATATATATATATATATATATATATATATAAAGTGGCTTAAGTATGTAAGTGAGACTTTGCTAAATTAATCTGAAAAAAATTGCAAAATTAATAATGAATGTTGGAGAAATAATTATTACTTATAAATGTAAGTATGACTGGTTGCAGTGACACGTTGATTCAAGCAGGACTGAACCAGCGTCGTTATGGCTGCATGTCACATCTTTACCACCAGTCAAGAATATCTTGATTTCTGAAATAGGAATTAAAATCTGAGTGTATATACACTGAGAAATAGACACCTCTCAATGTGTATGTCCTGTTGTATCCAGATTATTCAGTCTAAATATATTTAAAATTATTATTATTATTATTATTTTATTATTTGTTTTATTAATTATTATTATTATTTTATTATTATTATTATTATTATTATTATTATTATTATTATTATTATTATTATTAAAAATATCCTTTGTCATTCTACGTCTGTGTATAGACTGTATTCAACCTGCAACTTTGATATTACTGTACTTAAAATATTGATTGTATATAATATACTTTATTCAGTCTTAAAAGTTATTATAGAAGTACAGTGAGAAGTGGAGAGCAGTGTGAGGACTAACAACCACTACCAACACTCAACAACACTCTCAACCACAATAATGTACATATAAACACTGAAGATAGCTTATTTTAGTGGCGAAAGTTGACTTTCTGCGGTGAATAGTGATTCTCTGATCTATAAATTCATATATAAAAATTCATGCTTACAAATTTATATATATATATATATATATATATATATATATATATATATATATATATATATATATATATATATATATATATATATATATATATATATATATATATATATATAAGAATTTATTTATAATAATGTACATGCAATTTTTATATAAGAATTTATAAATTGTAATAGTTTTCCCGAGGGAAAGTGTCTGCATTCACCTGCTGGAAAGAAATCTTTCCCTCTGGCTCAAGAAAGACGCCACTAAAAAGACTCATTCAAGAATATAATAAATAGTCCTTCGATAATAATTCAAACTTTATGATACTCTACACGCTCATGGAATTTCATATTGCCTATATATATATATATATATATATATATATATAATATATATATATATATATATATATATATATATATATATATATTATATATAATATATATATATATATATATATATATATATATATATATATATATATATATATATATATATATATATATATATATATATTCCACTGAAAGTCACAGGTATACCTTTATAGGTCACAAATATGAAGTGTTAAAGGCTACTAATTCGACTAAACAAATTTATGAATAGACTGAAAATTTCCGTAGTCACGTGAAGTGTCTCTCTTTTCTCTAAGGAATACAGGGAAATACATTTATGCAAATTCCTAGATAGCTTAGGTACATTAATTTATTTTACATTAGGTTAATTTTAGCAAAATTAGTTTCTGTTCTTAATTTTGGATTAAAATATAATTTCGGCATATCAAAATAATTTGCATAATTGTATTTCACTTTTTTCTTGATGGGATGAATATTAGGCAATTCTCATTCACTTACTGGAAGTCGTGAAGTTAGTACAAGCTTCTGAAAGCTGCAACTACCTACCAGGTTTTTAAACCATTAAGAAAACTCTATACTATTTTTGTACATAGCTGAGCTGCTTGTAATGTTAAATCGACCATAAACTGTCTAGGACGTCCTCTAATTAATGATATTTTAGTCATTTTAAATAAAATTGATGTCGTGTTCCCATTTGCGTTTTTGTATCCTAGTTTCAATTTGTATTCTTGTAAGTAGACCTAATTAAGTGAATATATATATATATATATATATATATATATATATATATATATATATATATATATATATATATATATATATATATATATATATATATATATATATATATATATATATATTTATATATATCACTAAAGGTATATTTTAATCTCTAAGGTAATAAAGTAACCTAAACCGATTCTATAGAGGTGAAATGCAGCATTACTGACTCGTACAGTCGACAGATTTTCAAACTAATCAGGTGTAAACGTAGATGAACCTGTGAGTGGAGACGGTGTACCGAGCCCGTAGCTGGTCGTCACACAAAGTTCAAATGAACATTTATACCTCCTAGTTAAACCAGAACGGACACTGATAAATCAATGTGAAAGAAAACCCCAGATATTATTATTATTATTATTATTATTATTATTATTAT